CCACAGTGGCCGGGCGGGGGGGGGGGGACACACGATAAAGGCAAGAACACACGGAAACGTAAAGTCCTGCCAAGGCGTCTCCACGCCGCCATCCCAACACCGCCCCGTCGAAGCCCGACTCCACTCGCTAACCCTGCTCTCCCCCCGCCTCCTGCCCCACTCCCACCTCCCCGCCGCTCCGGGGCACCGCACCAGTCACTATCAGCAAGCGGCGCCCTCCATCCCCTGCTGGGCAACCCTCCACGCTCACTGCCCGGCGTCTCCTAGCAACGCACCAACACGCGTCGCTTCCCGCTACGGGCTCCTGCCCGGGACACACTTCCCTCCCCAGCCGGAGCTTTCCCGGCCGCACTGTGGGAAGGGAGTTCTAACGCCTGCCCTCTGCCCAGAGGGGGAAGGAGGCGGTGCGCCGCTCCGCTAAGAGCCGGCTGCGCCCTCCCAGCCGCCTTACTGTGCGGCTGCGGCGGCCCGAACCCAGCCTCGGCCGCAAGAGGGGCTGGGCGGAGCCCCGTTCTGGCCTCGCTTCTCCTCGTGTAGCCCCCCCCGGGCTGCCCCCCATCTACCGCGGGAAGGGGATAGGAGGGGAGGCGGAATGGGCCGCGGCGATCCTGGCTTGGCCCCTGTCCAGCCGCAGCTGCCCGGTTGCAGCAGCCCGGGCGTGGCCACGTAAATTAGCTCCTGCCAGCCTCAGCCCCCTGCCTCCGACAAACTCCACATACCCCTGCCTGCACTGAGCCTCTCGTAGATCCCAAACCTGACTCCTGCATCCCCCCCCCACACTTCCAGCCCTCTGCCCTGCTTCCAACATCCCCCCCCACACACATCCCCTAGTCCCCTGCCCTGAGCTCTTCATACACTCCAGCCCTGACTTCTGCACCTCTCTATGCCATAACGCCTGCACCCCAACCCCACCCCACACTTAAATTTCTTACAGGTACAGTTGTATTGCATCCCCATGCCCTAAGCCCTGGGTTATGATAAGACAGTATGGCTGTGTCTAGATGGGCAAGTTTTTCTGCAAAAGCAGCTGCTTTTGCGGAGAAACTTGCCAGCTGTCTACACTGGCAGCTTGAATTTCTGCAAGAACACTGACTTCCTACTGTCTGAAATCAGTGCTTCTTGCGGAAATACTATGCTGCTCCCATTCGGGCAAAAGTCCTTTTGCGCAATGCTTTTGCACAAAAGGGTCAGTGTAGACAGCTCAGATTTGTTTTGCGCAAAAAAGCCCCGATTGCGAAAATGGCGCTCGGGGCTTTTTTGCGGAAAAGCGTCCATGCCAATCTAGAAGCTCTTTTCCACAAATGCTTTTAACAGAAAACTTTTCAATCTCCCACCCCTAAACTGATTATTCCCAAATCTCTATCCCCAGCCCTTACTTCTCCTTCTAGCCTTATATGTCTCTGAATTCTCCCTTTGGATGTCCACACCCAAGAATCCATAGAGAACCTTTCATTTTAATTCTCAGTCCTTCACCACCACCATTGTTTTCAGTATTTTCTGACACCTCCACTGTTCTTCCTCTCCCAACTTATAAGCTTCATCTTTTGCTTCTCTCAGTTCTTTTCCCCTATACCCAGTTTCTTTCAAAATCCTGTTGGTACTATTACCATAATACCATCAAAATCTCACTTTTCTCATATTAAAACCCTGGCCTCCTTGCACATCTCTCCCAAATACTTTTCTTCCACTATTTGATCTGAGGAAGTGGGTCTGGCCCACAAAAGCTCATCATCTAATAAACCATCTTGTTAGTCTTTAAAGTGCTACATTGTCCTGCATTTTGCTGTGCCAATCTAGATGCTCTTTTCTGCAGATGCTTTTAACGGAAAACTTTTCCGTTAAAAGCATTTCCGGAAAATCATGCCAGTCTAGACATAGCCTATCTGTAAGAAATGTAAGTAACTTTCACCACTGTCTCTTGTTCTGGTGAGCCCCAGTTGGGAACAGGCCAGTCACTAGGAATGGAAGTGTCCAGGGAACTGGCACCAGCAATAGGAGGGACTAGGATTCAGCCACCTAGCTCGCATGGCAACCACTGCCAGGAGTGTAGCGCTGAATCCACCCACATTCCGAGCACCATCTTCCCCAAACACTGCTTCCTGCTCTGCTGTTCAGGGGAGTGTTTGTGATGGCCTTGTGAATCCCATCTCTTTATCCACACTTAGGCTGCATCTAGATTAGCATGATTTTGCTCAAATACTTTTAATGGAAAAGTTTTTCCGTTAAAAGAATTTGCGCAAGAAAGCGTCTATACTGGCATGTGCTGTTGTGCAAAAGATTTGTTTTTGCACAAAAGCATCCGTGCCAGTGTAGACGCTCTCTTGAGCAAGAAAGCTCCGATGGCCATTTTAGCAATCGGGCTTTCTTGCACAAGAAATTAACGTGGCTGTCTACATTGTCCCTTTTGTGCAAGAATACTTGCACAAGAGGGCTTATCCCTGAGCGGGAGCGTCAGAGTATTTGCGCAAGAACCACTGATTTTGTACATTACATAGTCAGTGTTCTTGCACAAATACTCGCAGCCAGTGTAGAAAGGCGGCAAAATCATGCCACTCTCCACGCACCCTTACAGAAATGAGACAAATAAAAGGGACCAGAGGAAAAAAGTATTAAGGATTAAGGCTGTAGACATTAACTGGCAGAATATAATGTTTTAAAGTCACAGAAGAAGCTTCCAGGAAAGCAAACAATTTAGTAACAAGGATCGCCACAAAAGGATGTGATTAGGGATGTTAAATTTAGATTAACTGGCAAATCGAATAAATCAATGCAGTTTGCATTGACTATTCGGTTAGTTGGTAAGCAGGCCTCTGGCTTTGAGTCTAGCAACTTCAAAGGTGAAAGCACTGTGGGGAGCATGGGGTCAGCAGGGAACTCAAGCAATCCCCCGCTGACCCTGTGCGCCCCATGGCGTTTCAAAGCAGCAGCGCTGCATGGAACCTGGGGTCAGCTGGAGACTCAGAATCCCCAGCTGACCCCAGGCTCCACGTAGCACTGGCACTTTGAAGCACCCCCTTTCCTCCCCCCCCTTGCCTCTTTCTGATAGAAGCAGCGGAGGGGGGGGGAGCAACTAGTCCACTAGTGTGTCGGCTATCCGATAAGCATTTACTTATCGGATAGTCAACTGGTTGACTAGTCATTCACATCCCTAGATGTGATGTGCTACAAAAAATCACAGTGACTGAAATCTTTTATTATAGAAAACAATTAATAGCAGTAGATGGGATGACAGGGTTATAAAAACACAATAAGGAGCAGAACTTATCCATGCAGACAATTCAGTTAAGAAATGATAAATGAAAAATTCTCTTTGTGTGTCCTTCAAGAAGAACCCCGCTCTTGCAAGTGTGGAACCCTGCTTGTGTTGTAGCAAAGACATTCTTCTTATATGAATATGCCTGTAACACATCCTTTCATTAAGAAACTGTGTATAGATTTACTTTTGAACAGCAATTAGTTAACAAAACAGTGGATTGATAGTTTTATACTGATAAGAGCAATGGCAAGAAATGTGAGCATCACTGATGTGCATCTTTGCCTTTAGTACCTTTGCTATCTTTTGAAATAAAAAAGAGATACCACACAGTGTCCACAGGCTGAATTTTGCTTCAGCTACACCAGACTAACATGGCTACATTTCTATTACTATTCCACAGGCTGAATGGCATGGCAAAAGATGTAATGGCAAAAGATACTAGATCAGTGCAGACAACAGCCATTGGGTCTTTTGAATTTTGTTTTATTTTATCTAGACTCCTTTCACAGTACATCAGTCAAATGTATTTCTATTCTTCAGAAAACAGCAGTACAGAAAAAAAGATGTAACCAGAAACAAATTGGTTAGGGTAGACCTTTAATGACCCTGCTTATATCAGTTCAAATACTTTCAAAATGAAATGTTTGGCTATGCCTAGTTCCAAAATATTGTTCAGCCATGCCAGAACTGATCTATAGAGCTCAGAAGCCACAGTGAGAAAAATAATATACATTTATAGATACAGAGATTCATCTTCTATCCTAAGTCTCTCAGGCTAGATAGGAATTCTGCAATGGCAGCATGTTCCAACCTCTGGGATCGTAAAAGGAGCATTTAATATTGTTCAAAAGTGCAACAGCACTGATACACTATGAAAGGAATTGTATTCAGACCTTCTCAATACCACTCTAATACAATAATGTTCAGTATGAAAGGCTATTTGGGTGAAAAGTGATAAAACAAAGTGGGAATAACATTATGTGGCAGACAACAGACTGGGACCAGGTAACTAAATACTTTACATGTGTATGTGGAAGTGAAGACTAGGACCCTGGTCTTTCAGCTCAAGAAGCATGGCCTTCTACCACTTACATTTCAAAGAATCCTAAACAAATGCTAGAAATCTATCCTCATCCCTCCTGTTTGTCAAGGAGGCAAAATTGCACACATATA